GTTAATTCAGTTATCGTGTGTTTGCAGGCTGTTCGGAATTCCACATGGCCTAGAGTTTTTCCACCTCCAATGTCCAGACGCTTTTTCTGGCTTTCCCAACCCTTTCGAGCATTCAGAATCACATTTTAGGGCTCGTGTTTAAGGCCGTTCACCTCTGTTCCTCTGTATTCCGCTGATTAATTTTGAACTTGAAGCATTCCTATTTCACACCCTTTTCCTGACTCAGATCAGTGTTTGCTGTCAGTGTGTTCACTTCAGGAGGCCCAGGACAGAAGATCTGCCCCACTTCGTGCAGTACCCACGTGCGTGCCGATAGAGGAGGAGAACAAGCCTCCCGCTCTGTACCGTTCCTTCTGTTTTTCCCAAATAGTCAGGGTCTCTTTTCATTAAGCACACGGTTGCAAAAACAGCTCAGCAGCCTTTTCACATACCTCAGCTCTCACAGCGCCTCACCCAGTGTCTGCCACGTTCCCTGTTGTCAGAAAGCCCGGACCTTAGCGCTCTCTCCAGCAGAGCCCGCACATCAGCAGTGGAGACCGGAAAGCATGACAGTGTGGCCATCCCCAGCCTCCTGTGTCCCTGCCTGGGTTTGCCTCAGGGACCACCCCTCTCCTTCCCACCTCAGCTACCCACACCTCCGGGTCTCCGGGTCTCTGGGTCTCCATCTCCACTCAGCACCTGCTCTGGTATTTTTCTTCTTTGCGCTGTGGACAAGTTGTAAGACAGTGGGAGGATTCGTCCTTTCCGGGGAGCCATTTACCTGCAGGACGATTCACAACCTAGTCAAGGACTTCAGGCACTTCCTCTGCTACTGTGAAGAGGCGTTTGGAGCCTCCTTGCTGCTCCTGTGTAAACGGATTCCCAGCAGCCCAGGGGAGGGGGCCTGCCAAGTCCCTGAGTTATCCCATGCTGTTTCCACCCGCCTTCCTCTAATTAAAAGAGTAAGAGCCTAGGCAGTGCTGGCGAGACTCCCCCACTAACTGCAGGAGAGCCCAAGGAACTCTTTTGTTAGGGCCCACAGAGTGGATGTAACTCATGAACTGCATTCTCTTAACTTTCTTTCTTTTCTTTCTTTTTTTAAGGAGATTCTTGCCTTACAGTGTGTGTGCTTGCTGGAGAGACAGAGCAGAGGCAGTGAGAGGGAAAGTGAGAAATTACCCCCAGGGGGGATGGCCGCACCGCAGTCCTTCCTTCTCTGTTCTCCTCCCGGGATCTTGGGCATGCACGCACCCGTACCAGGCATGATTTTCAAGCCACTGGGTCCAGGACTTGAGCCGCAGTCAGTCTTGTGAGAGTCCAGTGACATAACCACTACATCATCTGTTGGTGCCTATTTATTTTCTTCATGAAGGAGAGACAAAAAGGCAGAGGTACAGTCTCTCTGGGCAGTCTCATGCCACAGTCCTCCCCCAGCCCTGGAGCCAGCCAGCGTCATGGGTGTGCTATAGGCATTCCAGCCTGTTCAGGTGTACTCAGGATGCGAACCCAGAGCCTCCCACAGACTACAGAACTGTACAGTGGCACCCTGCTGTGTGTAGGGATCTAGGAACTCCTGATGACATGTTACTCTAAGTGCCGAAATGTCATGTCAGAAGGCACTTCCTGAGCTCGGCTCCCAGAATTCACATCCTGTCTGGTAGAGCCTTCTACCCTAGCAATTCTGAATGTCCTTGGCCCAGAACATGTTCACCTTCAGAATAAGGGAGTGACGAACAGAACCCATCTTAAAGCCATCTGGATCAAACCTGGCCTGGGTCTCCTGGTTGGGCTTAAGATGACAATGACATTTCAGTCCTGGTGAGGAACCCCTGGGTTTTGGAATCAGGTCTCTGCGTTAGTTTTCTGGCAAAGCATCTGAGTTTATATTCCCAGCTTCTCCATCTCCTTTTGCTATCGAGGATATTCAAGAACTCTGGTCAGGACCAGCAGATAGAGTAATGATTATATTGCTGGACTGCCGTGTAGTCAGCTGCGGTTCAAATCCCAGACCCAGCAGCTTAAAGCCCAAGCTGGGTACGTGTGTGCGCTTGCCCAAAATCCTGAGAGGAGAATGGAGGAGAAGAATTGTGGTATGGCCATCCCCGCCACGGGGGTGATTTTTTGCTTTCTGTCTGTTTCTCCAGTGAGCATATGCACCCTATGGCAAAAATCTTTTATTTATATAAAAACAAAAACCCTCTGGTTATCAGCTTAAACCCCGGCAGGCCGGCACGTGGGCCCTAATGACTTCGGCAGGTGCTTTGGGCTATATTAGAGAACCTAGTCTAGATCTGCACTGTCATCTGGATTCTGAGTTAATCCAGGAAAACAGTAAAAATTAGTCATGTGTATTGCACGGCTCTGGTACATATGTTTCCCATTATTTGGTCCTCTGTGCCACAGCACACACGCATGTGTGCGCGCACACACACACACACACACACACACGCCTTCAGTTTTTCCAAAATGGGGAGTCGGGGACTGTGGTTCCAGAAGGAAATGACTGGTGTGGTGCCTTGAAACTGGAACTTGGTCTGAATGAACCGACTTTAAATGCATCAGCAGATGTCTTTCCTCCACCTCCTGCTTTTTGGGAACACTTTGATAAGACGCGCTGACTTACACTGAAATGCCCTTCTCAGAGAAGCGGATGGCTGCCGCTGTAGTTGGCTGAGATGACGACATAGCCGTGGATGGCTTGATGGCTATTGCAGAGCAGCACCTGTGCACTTGGGTTCTGCTTTCAGGGCTGAGTTGGTCGGGTAGTCACAATGTGGCAGCAGCCAGCTGTCCATCCCTGCTGAGGCTGGGGAAGGAGGAAGTTAGCACGACTCTAATAGAAGAGGCTTACAGGACCTGCAGTGGGAAATGTACCGTCAGTGGAGACGCTTTGGACATTGGGACAGATAACCAACGAATAGTGGAGGAGTGATGTTTCCCATTGGATTGAAAATAGAATATATCACTTGCTCAAAGTACTTTAAAGTTGATAGATTATTAGACCTAGTAATTTTTTTTTTTTGGAGAGGTTTTTGCTATAGTGTGCGTACACTCCCCAGAAAGACAGAGACAGACAGAGACAGAAAGCGAGAAATCGCCCCCCGGTAGTGGTGGCCACACCGCAATCCCTTCTCCTCCATTCTCCTCTCAGGGTCTTGGGCACACACGCACACGCACCCAGCGTGAGCTTAAGCCACCAGGTCCAAGACTTGAACTGCAGTCGACTACATGGGAGTTCAGCGACATAGCCATTACGCTAACTGCTGGTCCCTGGAACTAGTAATTTCTAACATTTTAGGATTTCAGGCCCCATATGTGATTGAATGTATAAAAAAAAATAAAATAAAATTAACAACAACAGCAGCAAAAGAATCCAATGAACCCTCTCTCCCCAAAAATGCACACATAAAACTTAGCATACAGTTTCAGGGAACTTGCAGACCCCCTGAAGTCTATAAAGTAGACCCTAATTTAAGACATCCCGGGCTAGTGCTCTCCAGAAGTCGAGCTTCCTAAGTGACAGGCACAGTGGCTCTGTTTCTCCAAACATAACAACAGAGTCTAAAGATCAAATGCCAAACTTTGGATTTTCTTCCTCCAAATTTCTAATGGTCAGCCTGCACGGTGTCAAAGTATAAAGAAAGGATGATGGAACTGAAGGAATTCTAGTTTGAAATTCAGTTATTTGTCTTAGAGAAGCCAAAAGTTTAATTTTAAAAGTGACGGGTTGGTGCTGCCTCCTTTTCGTAGAAAGGCAGCCCGGGGCGGGCCTTGACCAGCGGCCGGTTCCCCGCTCACACCCCGCAGCGGATTCACTGAGGAACTGCAAACTCAGATGCCACGTGGGCTGCCCAGCCTCCTTCCAAGTCCACAGCTTCTAACTGTTGCTGTGATTATTCAGCTGGGCTTGAAAAATCTTATCTATTTATAATTCTCTCCCAAGTTTCATTGACTATGAATTAGGAAATGACCACCCAGGATGGCAGATCAGGGAGTAAGTTGGCCCTCTCCCTAAAGAAGGAGTCTTCATCCTCCTAGGATGTAAGTGGAGAATGCGCCTTTCACACTCACGAGGAGTGACCCCATGTGTGCTATCCATCACTCTGCATGGCTCTCTTCCTCTTCTGCAGATTCCCTTTAGTGTCTTTTTTTAATGATTTATTTTACTTTTTTTTTTTTTTAAGTTTGCTCTAGGGCGTGTGTGCTTACCAGAGAGAGACAGAGAGCAAGAGGGAAAGTGAGAAGGCAAGCCACCAAGTCTGGGACTCGAATCGCAGTTAGCCATGTGGGAGTCCAGCGCCTCAACTACCACGCCACCTGCCAGCCCCTGGATTCCCTCTGTTTTACCTGCACGTTCTGTAGTGCGCCCTCCGATCCCACATTGGAAATGTCCTTGCGTCTTTGCACCTGGGGTCGGGAACCATGGAAGTGAAGGTTGCCTCAGTATAGAAGGGAAGTGGTGGTGAGCTCTGGGGCAGGGCACAGCTGTCAGGTGTCTGCATCTTGCTGTCAGTCTTCATTTGTGATCCTAAGAAAAGCCCTCAAATACATGGTTGGGAGCGTCTTGAGTAAATTAGCAGTCTATGAATGGGTGGGAGCTAAGCAGTCTGGGCCGAGGTCTCCCTGCCGTTCACGTGCTGTGTTGGTCCTTCAGACAGGTGCCCTCCTCACCACGGAAGGGGAGGAGGGGAAAGCCCCGCCCCTCCCCACTGTGTCTGTTCCCGTTACTCCACCCCGGTGACACCCCGCCACACAGACAGGGTACAGACAGACACCCTGTGCTGTGAGCGCTGGACGTGGCTCTGGTCCTTTCTGAGCCAAGGAAGGCTGTTGGGGAGCTAGAACCGAGGCGAGGCCAGCCCCGCTGTAGCTCTGCGTAGTGACCGCGCAAGTCCCTCTGCACCCCACAAAGCGCGAGGACAGCACAGACCCGGGAGTGTAGGTGCGTCTTCTGGGGTGGAAGCTCGCAGCCGAGACACGCGCCCTGTGGGTTATTTACTCCTGTGCCTGTGTCTCTGCAGAAAACGTGATCAATGGGCAGGACTACGAGGTGATGATGCAGATCGACTGCCAGGTGATGGACACCAGGATCCTCCACATCAAAAGCTCGTCAGTCCCTCCTTACCTCCGAGATCAGCAGAGGAATCAAACCAACACCTTCTTCGGTTCCCCTCCAGCAGCCACGGAGGCAACCCACGTGGTTAGCGCCATCCCGGAGTCATTACAATAGTCCCCTGGGCCGCCTGGGAAGAGGAAGCGTGGGGCCCTGCCGGACCGCGAGTGGGTGACAGAAAGACTGCTTTCTCCCTTCCCGGTGGGGAGCAGAGCGGAGCAGAGATTCGGAGGGAGCAGACAGAGAATAAAGAAGCTGCTCTTTGGTTTACTGTCTCCCCGTCCACTTGGAAAGCACTGGAATTCAGACGCACAAGAACAGCCGTTCTCCACTGGCACGTGTGGCCCGCATCCTCCGGTGCCGCCGGGGTGGACTTCTCTGTACCTTTCCAGACTGCTTGTCCCCTGTGTGCGTGTTTTGTGTTTAAATAGTCACCTTGTTTCCAATAAGATCCACTTCCCCTTTCTGCCACCTCACCTGCTGACACAGTAAAGTGATTTTTATTTAAAGTTTTACAGCCCACAAGTGCTCAGATAGTTCCCACGGATTGACTTTCACTCAGTGAATGCAAGCGCGTTCTGGATATTGTGCCTCCTTCAGGAAGCCATTTCAAAACCTAATAGCTCAAAACACCCTGAAGGAATTAAAGCAGTGTGGAGCGTTAGGTAAAAGGGCAGCTCTCCAGTTGGTAACAGCTGTCTTCACTGGGATTGTGAGTATTGGCCCTGGGGAGAGGGGTCCTTGGACATGGTTGCACATTTAGAAGAGTGGAGTGGACAGGACGGGTGGGCGCTGGGGTTGTGAGAGAGGAGATGCTTCATTCGCCCTCGAGTGGGAAGCTTCGGTGGAGTTGCCGGTTAAGATGGAAGCCACAGCTGCCACATGCACTGCGGACTGCAAGCTGCAAATGCTCGCAGCCGTCCTGAGGTCTCCTCTCTCCTGACCTGGGGTGCTGCTCCTCCAGGACAGCCGGGCAGATCCTTCATCCCCACTGTGAATGCGTACCCCGACTCCTGTTCACACGACACAGAATTCGGCTGAGGAACGCGGAGGTGGCTTTAGACTTAAGCGAGGGAGGAGCCTTTTCCCTTGAGGGTGACAAACACTTGTTCTGTAAGGTGATGCAGACAGGCAAGCCTGGGTTCCTGCCGAGGGGTACATCCCATAATATGCCAGTCATTTCCAGTGTCTCCAGTGAAAAGGCAGCGAAGCAGTGAACACTTTTGTGGCCCCATGGTAGAAACACAAACAGAAACAAGCGAACCCCCAGCTGTGCTCACTCGCGTTTCCCCGTACTCCGGCTGCTCTGCCTGGCATGGTGACAGTCACACCATGTTCGTTCCACGGAGTCGCGGGACTGGCTCGCGGGCAGCCGTGTGCTCTCTGAAGTCCCACCTTCAGTTCTCCCTCGGTCTGTCCCGAATAGAGCCCACTCTGCAGCCGCTGCCCGCTACCTGCGTTGTCAGGTTCCTTCCTTTTCGAAACATTCCACACCGTTTCCATCTCTCCCCCTTTGGCCCTACCCCTCCGGGAGCCCATGCCTGTGAAATTAGGCCCGGCCCCTCAGTCATTGTAGAGTCGGCAACACGAAGCTCTCTGGACAGCGGTGCCTCTCTGCCCGGGCTAGTTTCTTTCCAAAGAAATCAGTTCCACTTTTGGGGTGTTGCCTGGGCGTCAGGCTGGGAAGCCTTCCTCCTCTCCCACATCACAGCCCGTTCTAAGGCAGTGCAGCTCGCACTCCGATCAAGTTCCCCTGGTGGTTTTCAGACAGAGCCAGTGTCCCAGGGGACCCTTCTTCAGTGGGTACCCAGGGACAGAAAACAAGTGCCCAGGAAACCCACTGGACTACAGGGCAGATGTCCCCTGGGAGGTCTCCTCCAGGCCTCCTCCTCCCTGTCCTCCTGGGAACTAGCTGGACAAGGG